GAAGAGACTGGAGAGGTGAAGTGGACCAGTGATAGTGTATCCCTCATAAAACCATCAGCAGGTCAATGTCAGGAAGTGATCAGTCAATTAACGGACAGTTATCATACCATTGACCTCCGTCACTCATCACCTGATATTGTATACCTATTGATGTCACTAGCACTGGACATAAGGAGAATAAAGGGGATTGGTATAAGATACACTAAAATAACAAAAGATGTCATCCTCTTACTGTCACACAAAATAACAAACAATACTTCATTAAAGACACTATCGATCGTTAATGATTCCATCAATGATGATGGAGTCATTGCACTAACACAATCATTAATTAATAATAAAACAATTACTGACTTACATCTTAGTGACAATCCTGACATCACTTCAACCAGTGCTCAGTCACTAGCTAAACTTTTACTCTACAACCACACACTATCTTACCTTTCTCTCCGCCATACTAACATTGATACTGATGGATTACCGGTACTGATGGAATATCTCAGGACAAATAATACACTAAGGGAACTAGTTCTAGACAAAAAACATAAACAAACTTGTTATTCTTTACCTTATTATGAAACTATTGAAAACAGATTAACATTTTGGTAATTATTTCATATACATATTAGGTTATTAATAAATAATTTATATTATTAAATGAAAAAGTAATTTTAAATTGTACATACTCCTACATTGAACACATCCCTCGATCATGCCAAAAACAAACAACAGACAGATAGACAGAGAGAGAGAGAGAGGCAGGCAGAGAGATGGACAGAGAGAGAGAGAGAGAGGGACGGAGGGAGGCAGAGGCCAAGAGACACAGACAGACAGAGAGACAGACAGAGGAAGGGAGGGAGAGGGAGGGAGACGGACAGACAGAGACACAGAGAGAGGGGGAGAAAGAGAGAGGGAGGCAGGGAGGGAGGCAGAGAGACAGACAGACAAACAGACAGAGAGGCAGGCAGGCAGAGAGACGGACAGAGAGAGAGAGAGAGAGAGAGAGAGAGGGAGGGAGGGAGGGAGGGAGGAAGACAGACAAACAGAGACACACAGAGAGAAAGAGAGAGAGAGAGTACAGTACAACAAATGTAATAAAAATTTGAACTCATAAATTTTAATAAACTCATTCCTCAAAAATGTGATTGAACTACATTGTACATGCGAATCCAAATTTAGGCAAAACTGATCAAATAAAGATTTTGACAAATTTTTAATTTTTGGTGATTGGCAGGTTTTAATTATAATGTAGGCATACATGTACAATTAAGCATGTGCATAAAGATTCAAAATGGCAGGTTTTATTTTGGAAAAAAGCTATCAGATTTGTCACCACAAAATTACTAGCAACACGGTACATATACGTCTACATGTATAATCCCTGCTATGAAGAAATACTCACTCATTGACTGACCTCTTGGAATGACTTCTTCTCGTATCTCTCTTCTCCATATCCTGATCTCTTGAGTCCCTCCTCTGATGAGAG